GTCATATAGTCGTGCGAACGTCGTTGTCATGTAGGCGCCTGTTGACGCTTTCTTGTGCGCAAGTACGTTGTAACTACTTGATATCAAAGAGATTAAGCCGGCTAACCGTTGAAATATGGATGAAGCGGGTATAATGGAGGGCCAAGGGCAGAATGGTCTAGTCCTAGGAAGTGCTACAACACGTACAGCGTTTAGAAAAGACTCTGGGATTAGAGTATGGACTTCTTTTCTAGAGTGTATCTCAGCAACTGGCCAGTCGCTATGTCCATTGGTTATCATTAAGGGGAAAACGGTCCAACAGCAGTGGTTTCCAACAGCTTTGGGTCTATACAAAGGCTGGAAGTTTACAGCAACAGCAAATGCATGGACTAATAACGAAGTGGCTATTGAATGGCTCCAGAAAGTCTTCATTCCTAATACCCCTACAGATCCCTCCGAGAAGCGACTACTCATTATGGACGGCCACGGAAGCCATACAACAACGGAATTTATGTGGCAGTGCTTTCAGAGTAATACACTATTGCTCTATTTGCCTCCTCATTCCTCTCACGTCCTTCAACCTCTCAATCTCGGAGTCTTTTCCTCCCTAAAGAGGGCCTACCGCAGACGGCTAGGTAATCTGGGCCAATAGTCACCCTGGTGCCATACAGCCACCAAAACATACAGCCACCAAACATACAGCCACCAAACATACAGCCATCAAACGTACAGCCACGGAATAGATTCCTTGTTTTGGTCTAGGCTTTTTTTTTTCTTTTTTTTTTTCGCAACCGACGATGGCCAAACCATAGCCCACAGTGCTCAAGATTCACGTCTTTTGCATATCGACGAAGCTCTGGCTCACAGCCGGCAGGTTGTACATACTATGATCTCGTCCTCCGCTTTGCCGTCGCGGTCATTACCAGCCATATTCCCTTTCATCCGCAGGCTGTCGATGCTCTTGCTAGGTCCTGTATGCTGCTCTTCCGCGGCTTGGGCCTTGTTTGCGCTCGAAACCCATGATGAAGTAGACTTCTGCTTGTTCAGGCTGTGGTTGAGTTGCACAATCCGATGGACAGCATCGTCCTTGCTAAACTGCCTGTTGCTAGATCTGGTCGCCTGGGTAAGCGCGGTTTGGTGCGCCGACCGGGCGGCTGAATACTATCGATCAGCCCATCTTAGCCACACAAATGATCGTGAATACTCGGAATACCAACCTTCCTCCGCTTCACGGAAAAGCTGATCACTCGGGGATGGGGAACGAGACATGTCAAAAGACGTGTTGTTGGTTGGGCAAGAAAATGTCGCCAGGGATAGTAGAGACATTAAATATGCGACTACATGACTACTGCGTCGTATTCCTTTGGACCTGTCAAATCCCTAGGTCCTTACAGAAGTACACAAGTTATGACAGTTGAGTAGACACAGAGACTTCTGTTAGAAATAGTCCTGGATTTGGGTAGAGCACGAAAATTATAATACATAAAACCCATGGTCGACCTTCAGCCAGAGAAATCGTCGTCCTTAAGGACATATTGTCATTCAATAACTATATTCAACAATCGCTGAAGAAATACACCCCTCCTTCCAAAACTCAAGTCCTTCACATTTTATCATGTCACTCGCGGGATCCCTTGATTCAAACATGCATGGCAGCTTTAGTGGTGACAACCATAGGGGCACTTCAAACCCTTGTCGCACTGCAATTGTTTTACCTACTGCTCAGGACTCGTTCAGCACTGATTCATATAACGATTCCGGAACACCTAGGACCAGTTCTCAGCGCGAGGCGTTTGTGTGCACACCAAATCAAGCCACTCCATGGAATCCTACAATCGTGGTTGCAAGATCTCCTAATATTACTATGCTCCAGCTCGGCTCCATATGAATAGATCCATGAGACCTTGACTCGTCTGCCCACGCTCCTCTTGTCCCGTATGCGATATTGTATACCCTTGAGAATCGTGCCATCGTGCCGCCGAAGCACGCCCCAGTCAATTGGGAACGAGAGAGAGTGTGGAGGGCAGGTAGATCGATGGAGAGGTTGCTCTACATCTGACGTTTGCTCGGTCGACAATAGCAGCTCGTTTAGGTCAGTAGATTGCCTTGAAGAAGACATCGTAGATAAGCTTCGAGTACTTGATGGCCGACTTGGGCCCCAGAACGCGTGTAGCGACATAATAACGCGTCGATTCGACGGGTTGTTGATAGACATTTGATGGAGAAAGAGTAGGATTTCATTTCGCCAGGGGGACACGCCTCATAGGGCCATTGCGCTAAGCTGTTTACGTTTCGTACAGTGCGATTTACGTCGATTCTGGTGGGTTTAGAGTTTGCGCAGCTTAGATAATTAGTTCTAAGCGATGTAATTGGCTAATTAGCGATATCAAGGGTATCCTCTCCTAGCCTTCCTAAATAAGTAATTATTGGCATCAAGTACTTGACAACTTGACACTCCTTTAACTTGATTGATTGATGACAACCCTTAAACTTGACTTGAGAACTTGACTTGACGAGAAGTCGAACTTGATTGAGAATTGTCAAGTTCGAGCTTGATTGTTAGCCACACTGCGAGCAGGAGAACATCCAGGAAACCATCAACATATTTTCCGGTAAAGCAGGTGCTGGCGGACCAGGCGTACGCGATCATCTCACTTTCTCCGCTTTAGGCGATTCAGACGATGCCGAGGATCTCCTCGACGCCCAGGGGGGCAATGTGGGTTGACTCTCTTAAGCTAGATGATTCGCACTGAGTGAAAGCTGACGGCCAAAAAAGAAGCAGATTTTTGCGGGTGCGACTGCTCAGAGCCTTGGTTCTTGACGTGATAGCACTCACTGAACGGTCATCAAGGCGTCTTGAATCGTGGATCTCCTGGCTGTTCAAGCCCTCTCTCCTGAGCTGAATCAGCGTTTTATCCTCCTCTGCCGACCACTGACCATATCTCTGGACGGTGGCAACAGAGGTGAGGAACTCGAAATGCCGAACTTGATAAGTAGAAGCGTCAAATAATTGAACCAGGAAATAGTGACTCTTCTCGCCTGCTAGTTCGACCTCAATAGGAATGACTCCCCAATGGGTGTGAAAATGGAGCAAGCCATTTATACCATCGTTGTCCTCTAGGATTCGTGCCCATCCTGACCTAGTTGTCTCAGACTTTGAGGTCCAGAAATGTGCGAAGCCGTTCGTTTCAGTGAAAGTTACGTTGCGCACCGATCCGGATTTGTTTGATAGTAGTCGGTCCAGAGTAACATGAGCATTGGGTATACCTTGCCCAAAAGCATTAATTACTCTACAGATGAGCGGCGCCATGTTAAGATGGAAGGAGAAGAAGAGCAGAAAATCAAAGATATTCTTTTATGTACTGTAATCTTTGGACTGATTTCATGAGATTTCAAGTTGGTTAAATATTACCATCTTATATTATATGCCATGTACGCTATATTTATTTATATCCCTTGGTTTATTCAAAAGTCTGTGTTATTTATTTGAAGGACTGTACTTTGTTAAATACCGCTGAAGCGGGGGACAATTGTTGTCTTGTTATTTTCTTTTCCGTGGTTGCTAACGTGGAAGTACACCGTGAACTTTTAATGTGTGATCGGAATTCCGAAAGAGATGAACAAAAGGTAACGTAATTTAACATCGACCGAAACATGACATCGCGCGAACCACTTTCACCCCCCCACGTCCACTCCAACCCTGATTACTCCACCACAACACTGAAAATTCAACTGCACTCAATGCAGCTGCCTTCATCAGACGTCTCTTCAACCTCCTGGCAGGTCCGTATATTATGGCCAGTCTTACCGCAGCCGCTACAGCGCGGCTGCGTCGCTGGCTTAGCGTCAGGCGGCCCCCCTCCCGACGGCTCCCCTCCCAATTGCTGGCTACCAGGAGCCTTTGCAGCTAGCAAAGCTTGTGCGTCCTTTACAGTAAGTGCACCCCCTGCCTGGAGACGTGTACGCTTGGCCCTTCGACGCTTTGCAAGCGCCTCATTGCCTTCCGAAGGGTCTTCAGCTCGTCCTCTATAAGGACCATCCGCTGGGCAATTTGCTCTGTCCCCTTTGCTAGCTGTGTCACAGCTGAAAACATTGACGTTGGTGAGCTCCCTTGGTGAATACTGATTCGATTCCGTACGAATACTGACTGCGATACAGCTTCGGCTGGGTTGTGGGGGGTCTGAGAGACCCAAGCGTCGGCCTCCAGGGAGGGGGGTCTGGTTGGTGTCGGCGTCCGAAGCTTCACGTCAAGCCTTGACAAGACTGCCTGGGGGTCGTACGGGACTAGCCCAGCGCCACGGAAACCAGCCTTGATGTTTTTGGACGTCATAGTCGCAAAGTGGGCGGCTTTAAAGGCAATAAAGAACTCAGGCTTGGTGATTTGGTTGATGTGAGCCTTGATGAAATGCTGAAGTTCCTTGCAGTACGAGCGCTTTAGTACGCTAAAACAACCAACATCACAAGGCTGGGTAAGGTGTGAAGAGTGTGCAGGGAGGCAGAGGGTGATAATGTTCTTCTCCTTGCAGAATTGGTCGAATTGAGCTGAAATATGACTCTCGTGGCCATCAAGGACGATCATGCGATATACCCCTTTCCGCCGTACGCCTGTATGCTGGTCAAAGTGCCGAATCCAGTCCATAGCCGTCTCATTGTCTGTCCAGCCATTTGGGGAGGTTTTGATAACCCAGGAGGGCGGGAGGTTGGTGTCAGTGTACCAGGGGGCAAGGTGGTTAACGCCCTGTACAATCAGGAACGGCGGCAGCACGAAGCCGTCGCTGCATATGCACTCAATTGCTGTTGCCCATTCCCGATTACCAGGCTGAAGCTGCTTGCCTCGTCCACGTCGATCAGCGTGTGTGACGACCATACTGCTGCAGATAACGCCCATCATAAAGCCCGTCTCGTCGAAGTTGTAGAAGTCTGCGTCGTGGATCCCGTACTTCGCACGCATGTTGGCCACCAGTCACCACCATGTATATATACCTAAGCAGACAGCTGACTATTTTATTACGGTATGTTGCAGTCCCTTTAGCTCAGTGGTGAGCGCCCGCCTCAAATCACCATCTTGTAACTTGTACAGACTTGGCGGGAGGCCGTTGGTTCAAACCCAACAGGGACTGTTTGCATTTTTGCTTCCGGAGGCTCGGAATGCCCTCACTTTTGCTAAATTCTCCAAGGTGCAATGTGGTGGTGACGAGGTTGTGGTGTTAACATGCTCGGGTTGTAGTTTTGGTGGGGATCCGCACCAAAAAAAAAAAAAAAAAAACGCTCGGGTGACAACGCTGACAACCGGTTTAGGCGCCCGCTGCGCCAGCAGTGGGTGCACCGAAGCGATTGCGACTCACGGGTATCCACGATAGACTGAGTGCTTCGCGTGAGGATGATCAAGTGATCACAACAGTCGTCCTGAAATTCATAAAAAGATTTGGCGTAGGCAAGAAGCCGCCCGCACAACACTATATACCTCACAACAACAGACCTTTAGGTCGGTAGTCGTTGACGATCACCTCACCCTCGCTTCCTGGGTGGAGGACTTTGACTGTTTATATCTTTGCGTGCCCTCCTACGGAGACGATTCGACCTTCTCAGCTGGGGCATTAACGGCTCAGCAGCTTCTTGTAAGTCAGGTTCTGACCCCGCGGAATCGTCCGTTGCGTCAGACTGAGTGACTGGAAGGGCTTGAATGTCATCCTGTGACCCAGTGCCTTGCTCCTTTTAATCTCAGTCAGTTGTCAACGGTGAGATATGTGGCTCGATTAGAGACGCTTTTTTGCGTGTCCTCATCCAATATCCATCCTCAGACACCTCTTATCAAACATTCCTTATCAAACCCCCCCCCTACGACCCGGGAGGAGAAGGCAGCCCGTGACCATCTCCCTTGGCCGTGGCAGGCTTGGCGAGTCGGATGGCCAGGTTGAACGTGGGCAGACCGGGCGGGCTCGCAGTGGGATCGGCCGAGGTGAGCGGAGGCGTTAAATAGCGCCGATCATTGCCACGCAACCTCTTCTTGGCCGCCGACGTCTCCGTCTCCGTCTCCATCTCGACAGAGCTCCTCCTTCTCTTCTTGCCTCGGGTCTCCCTCTCAGGGTCACCAACGACGGCCGTTTCTTTCTCCTCGGCGAGCCAGGCTGCCAGCTGGCCAAACGCGCGCCGCATGTCCCGGGACGTCGACATCCTGGGCCTCCCAGACTTGCGGGGACCATCGCTGAGGTCGCTGTCGCTGTCGCTGTCATCGTGGTTGTCACACTTCTCCCCGAGCTCCCGTTTGCGTCTCCCTTGCGCGAGTAGCGTATGCATGAGCAGCTCGTCGATCTTCTTCCCAGTCCACTGGATGCGGTACCACACCGGGATGAGCTTCATGTTACCTTCGCGCCACGCCGCCGTCTCCTTTAGGTACGCCAGCAGGACGGCGTCGCAGTCTTCCTGTGAGAAGGACGGCGTCGTTGCCGTGCCGCCGTCTCTTCTCAGGATGCCCGACGCCACGACCTTGGCAAAGGCCCGGTCGGCCGCGGCCTGTGTCGTGCGGACGGCACGCGCCAGCACGTGGAACCGGTGGGTCAGGTATAGGATGTACTCTACGAGCGTGGTCCCGAGGCCCTGGGCGTCCACGTTCTGCTTGAACCTCAGGTAGGGATACCACCCCGAGAGGCAGATGGTCTCGACGTGCAGGAAGTAGTCCGCACCGTCACTGAGGTAGTCCGCCGGGAACGTGTCGTAGTACTCGGGCGGCAGCACCTCGTCGTCCCACACGGCCAGCAGGTCCTTCGGCAGGTAGGCGGCGGGATCATCGGGCTTGAGCTTGCGGGCGCGTGCCTGGAACTGGCTGAAGCAGAACAGGTCCTCCAGCTGCGCCGCAGCCACCATCCAGCCCTTGGGCTTCTTAACGTCGAGCCGGAGCCACGCGGAGACTGGATTCTTGGATACCAAGATGCGATGCCTCGGCCTTCTCCCACGCAGGTACTTGCTCGCCTGCACGCCGTAGCCCATGGGCCAGCGGCGACATGTCTCCCGGAACATCCCGGGGCCGGGACGGAAGGCCGGACACCAGTTCACGCCTCGCAAGATATCAAAGTAACGCTGCTCTCTATCTTGGTCTTCGGCATCTTCGTCCTCCGAGGACGGCTGGGGCGGCTCTCTGTAGCCGGGAATGGTAGGCGGCAGGTATGATGTGCTAATATATGGAGTACCCGGGGTGTGGTGAAAAAGCTCTTTGCCGACTCCTGCCCAGTGGGGACGAAAAATCTCGTTTTGGTTCTCTTCGTCCTCACTATCTTCGTCTTCATCCTCATCGTCCTCACACTCATCATCCTCCTCGTCCTCCTCTTCTTCGTCTACTTCGTCTACTTCCCCCTCGCCCGCATTTTCTCCGCTTAGTTCTTCGCTCGATAGACCAGCTACTTTCAGGGTCTGCCCCGCTTGGAACCGGCAAGTACCCCATGAGCTCTCATCTTCCGTTTCGTCGTGCGTCCATTCGAATTTGTCATCTTTTTTAGAGTCGCTCGAGTCGCCCCAGGCGCCTTCGACATTCTCCGGGCGATTCCATCGGTCACTAAACCACGGGCTCAACTCCGAGTGGACTGGGAAAGGGCCTTTATACCTATGGTGTCGGGGTATCCAGTCTCTCGTATACAGAGACCACCATTTCGTCGATACATTGTCCTCAGCCATGGCGCGCAGATCCCCAAACACCTGGTCCAAAAACTCGCGATCCGCAGCGAGATCCATGGTGGGTTTCTCCATGACAGACGCATCTGATTGACTCGTGGGCAGTAAGAGAGGAGCATTAAATAAACAGAAGTTGGGTATGTACGTCAAGATTCACAAGCTAAATGCTAGAACAAACAGAGGGGAGGGGGGTTTTTGCAAAGGAGCCAGCGACTGGCTGATTACGCGCTTGGCAGCTAGGGCAGGAGATCCATCCGCAAACACATTCACGCGCTGATGGTCGCCAAAGGTTTTGTTGACTCGATTCTGGACCTGTCGACCAATCACGGACTGGCCCCAGGCCAATCACACGAAACTACGGCGCGGTACGCTTGTGCCTTGATACTGAAGGGATGACTAAGCAGACCGCCTTAGCATGGGCATGCATATGGTGCGGAGGTCTCCCTTGAAGAAATAAGCAAGAATCAACCAACCAACCAAACCCTATCGTCTACGATACGTACGTCGCTCCATCGACTCTCGATTCAAGTAAATCTTGAACGTGTGATGTGACTTTGGCCGACAGTTCTCGGCCTGAAGTACTCGGTGGCGATTCGTCTTGCGGTCCTCTCGTATGCTTGAAGCCTTTTGATACGAGCAGTAATTCTCGCAGTGTCCAATTCTACCGAAGTATCCCATTCAGATCTTGACTCCCAGACAAGGTAGTCAATTTTGCCCATGTATGACTCCCAAGACCAAGACGGAGGGGTCGTCTTCTTTAGAGTATTGAATTTGTACCATGGGCCTTTCTTGATCTCTCCGCCAAAGAAGAGAGAGATGAATGAACTTAGAGAATATCCCAAAGTTAACTTGTGTCTTGAGTGTTTCGGCTATAGCACTTGTTAGTGACCTGATAGCGATACCCCTATCCGTCTTATCTACCCCGCTGTTGCAGAGGAGAGGCTGAGTGACTTGGCCGAAGCCAAGACGCCGGAATAGTATATTTCCCTCAAGAACGTCACCTCAGTCAGCAGCTATGATGGTGGTGACTTTTTATTGAATGTCTCTGGAGTTTTATAAAAGTAGATAGATTAGAAAGGATCGTAGTGAATAAATGGGAAGCAGCAAAAAACGTAACAGAGTAAAGTTCTGACTCGCTGAGTTTCTGTAGGAATTGGGACCGTCCCAATCCATCAAACACCACGACAAATATTGGACATTTTTGAGATTGAAATTGAAGCCGAACCAAGTGATCCACCTTACGGGCACTGAGGTCGCACATTTGACGTCTTGTTAAAAATACTGACAGCTCAGGGATGCCGCACTGATGACTATGAAATCTACTACGGCTTAAATATATTGAAAATCCCCATCCTCGAAGATCTTCCGACTTGGTGTCTACAGAGTCTTAGTCAGTGGCCTGAGTATCCCTCGCAGCAGAACAGAGAGAAAAGAAGAGGCAACATACTGTATCCACATGATAAGAAGAAGCAAACTTGCATCCCGTAGGGTCCTTGCATCTAGGGCCGTACTTGCAGTTGTGAGCATACGGACACTTGACATCGGTACACCAAGAGTACCAAGAGCACGGGTTGGTCGGTGAGCATTCCAGAGCTTGTATCTTTCAGCCCGGTTCCAAGCATTAATAGCGCGCATAGCAGCTTAGCGCGGCCCAATGAGGATTGGACTAAGGTTAGAGACAAGGCTAAACGACGGCGCATACAGAATTGCATTGCCCAGCGATTATATCGTAAGCGATCATCTACATCGCCCGGCCGTATTGCATACGTGACTAACTATGCTGTAGGAAACAAGCTCAAAGAGTGTACCGTATTAGTTCACCAAATTCGCCCAAACTCCTGTCATCGCCCTTCCTTAACACAGCTTAGTGACAGTCTAAAGATGGTTTAGGGTTTTCGTTGAGCCACATTGAACCACCAGATCTCTCCACTTTTCCTTTGAATACAGAGTTCAATTGGCTTCTGCCACTGACAGCGGGTTGGACGAATTTGGTGAATTAATACGGTATAGCAAATCGGTAGAAGGACGACATGGCTCACGTAGGAAGAAATCGAAATTCAAACAATACATCTTTGCATTTGTTTAAGCCGAGTCACCAGTCGTTAAGCTACACAGAACGTAAAGCAGCAAGAGATGTAATTAAGGGGAGGGATACAGGGATAAGGCATCTAGTTCGCAGAACCGGCACGTGTGAGTAATAGATCAAATGCGATGATAGCTCTAAACACTATTCGATCCAATCATGGACGGAACTCGATAGTGGAGGGGCAAGGATCGAGCTGTGAGGAGATTTTGTCCAGGCGAGTAATGCGGTGATCGACCAGAAAAGCTCGTACGTTTGAGACTTTGGTGCATATATATGTCTGAGTACCTAACAGAAGTACTGCGTTTTGAAAGACTGCATCATGACTGTATGGGCTAGGTACGGGTACTTCTGAGATTTTACTCCGCACAC